TTTATTGTAATTAATATTATTAATAAAATAATTGATAAATTTGAAAGAAAATATTATATAATTTACTAATTTTACTAAATGTATTGCAATAATACTTTTATCATATTATACTTAATTTTATATTTACTTTCATTTACAAATTACATACAAATTATTAGTTGTATGACCCAAAAATAAACTGGTATCATGTCATGGACACAACCTAAATAACTTTGGATTCTCAATGGCCTAATCCAAGACTAAATAAAGGCTAAACTTTGATCAAGTTAGGCAAAAATCAAAATAACCTGAATTCTAACTATAACAAGATTTAAATATACTTGGATTTAATATGATAAGAATTGAATAAACTTGAGTTATTTTTTACTTTTTTTAAGTTAAAAATAAGTCATGATATGGTGCCTTCCATTCGATAATTTCAAATTAAGCCTCATCTCACAATATAAATTCTCAAAAAGTTAGTAGTGGATGTACACTTCAAACAAAGTTGTTACTTTTAAGAAACCGGGTCTTATCTCACCGTCGTTTATCTTTCACTTTTCTAAGTTCTTGCTTTTTTTTATTATATATATTTTTTATAATTTATTAACTTAAGTATAATAGAGTTTTATATTTTGACAAGGGATTTTTTTTTAATGCAGAGAAAGCCAATTCCATATTTAAACCTAGACACTTAAAGTCCAAACAGCAGTTTTTGTATCAAACAATACTTTCATTTTTTTACTATTGTTTCGGAAAAAAAAGAAAGTAACCAGCAAGAGAAACTTGCATTTGTACTTCTACACGCGCAAGTTATAACAAGTTCGCTTTAGGTGAGCGACCCCAATTCATACTCCATCATATTTTCATTCCTTTTTTTTTTTTTTTTGAGCTTCCTAGTGGAAAAGAAAGACTTGCGCATGCTGAGCCGAGCTCCATTTTTGGCTGGAAGCTTGGACCATGCTTTCTTTCTTTGCTCTTGGATCCCTGCTTATTCCCTTCCTAGAAAGTTACCGCATGAAGGCCGTATAAGACCACCTCATTCTCTCCATTATCTACTGTCTTCTATACAGCTTCAGTTACAGCAAACGCCCTTACTGAATAATAGATTCGTTGTGCGGCGCCAGCTGTAATTGGCTGTTGAGTAATTAGTTCCTCGCATCTTCCTCTACTAACATAACAGCACGAGTCCTGACAGATTGACACCAAGCACTCGTCTTCGTGCTTTAAACATCCCACCCCTCGTACATTCTCTCTCCACGCTATTAAGCCTATTTCTCAATTGCGCTCGAGTTGACCAATCCACCCCTCGCAATTCCCACAAAATCACCATCATCTCCAGCAAACCCACGGAGAAGATAGAAGACAGCAAATCAGTATCTAAAAAGAAGAAGAAGAAGAAGAACCTGATTAGGACAGACAATGCACGCCAAGACAGACTCAGAGGTCACTAGTCTAGCACCATCATCCCCCACAAGATCTCCTCGCCGGCCAGTCTACTACGTACAGAGCCCATCACGTGACTCTCACGATGGAGAGAAAACCACGACGTCGTTTCACTCCACTCCTGTACTCAGTCCCATGGGGTCCCCACCTCACTCTCACTCCTCTGTTGGCCGCCACTCGCGCGAGTCCTCCTCAAGCCGGTTTTCCGGGTCGCTGAAACCTGGATCGCGCAAGATCTCACCAAATGATGCGTCTAGAGGGGGTCAAGGGAAGGGACAAAAGCAGTGGAAAGAGT